GTAAGGTGGCCCAGGTGGAGAGCCAGGATTCAAATGCAGGTGTATGGGGTGGTCCCTACACGTCACCCTTCCCCTGCTGATTCCCCTTAGAGGAAGGAAGGACCCTCTTACCTTAAGATAGGAGGAGGGAGGGGCGGGAGACGGCAGGCTAGTTGGAAGGACTGTCACAGGAGAGTCTGACTGGGGGCCTGGTTCCTCTATAAACAGGGAGCGAGATGCCACACTGAGGCTGGGAGAAGGAGGGGTGGGGGTCTGAGAAGCAAGATGCTCTGAAGCAGCTGCTGAGGAGGACAAAAGCAGACTGACCAGAACACGGGAAAGGACAGTAGACGCCATTCTGCTTCGAAAGGGCGTGAAATCCCAAATTGCTCTCGTTCTTGCAACAAAATTATAGTGATCTTTCCTGTCTCCTAGAGATCCCGCCCCTCCCTTCTTTTCCGTCCTCCTTCAGCGGGAGGCGCTTTTCTAAAAGGTGGATTTCGGAGTGGCGTGGAGTCCAGCGAGGAGTCCTCTTGAACTTCTGTCCGGTTGTCTGTGTCATGAACACCCAGGCCGTGTGCTGATGCCCAGGGCTGGGGTCTGCTGGAGGAGTGGGGTCTGCTGGGGGCCGCAGAGGCCTGGCACATGGGGCAGCAGTGTGGTTTTCTCCCGAAGGGCTCGGCTGCCCAGCGGGTGGTGGGTTGTTAGGGATTAGGTGTGGGCAGGCCAGCGTTGGAAGAACCAAAGGCAGAGAAACTGCGGGCCCGGGAGTGGCTGCAGGGATGGGCTGAGGAAGCCAGGGATGCGCTCAGAGGAGAGAGAGAAGAGACAGGAGCCCTAGCACAGTGTGACCATGAGAAAGCTGTGGCCAGGCTATGAGACGTCTGAACGCATGATTTCAGAGGCGGAAAGGTTCTGGGTCAGGACAAGGCCCCGTGGAGGTAACAGCCCTCGATCTGGGCAACGTAAAGAATGGAGGGATTTGGGTGTTCGTTGGGTGGTGGCCAAGAGGGAACAGTCTCAGGATGATGATGGGATTCAGGGTAGAGGAGCGATCTATGAGCCAGACGCCAACATTCAGAGAACGAGGGAAAGTGACTGGATCACGTCATTGATAATGACCATGATGAACCTGAGAGCTCCCACCTAGGGGACACTCACACACGGCAGGCTCTGATAAGCGCTGTAAGGACTCAACGCTCACAGCCACCTGGGACATCAGTACCATCTTGTCCTTTTTTTTACAGGTGGGGAAACTGGGCACAGAGGTGGATGAAGCAACTTGCCCCAGGTCACACCCAAGTGGGAAGCAGGACCTAGTCCATGCAGTCAGGCTCAGGGGCCCCCGCCCCTACCCATCCTGCCATCCCAGTAGAGCAGGAGGTGAGTGGGGACAGAGAGAGAAGAGGGATGGACACTGGTGGAAGTGGATGGCGGGAGCCTCAAAGGGGAAGGAGCAGTTGATAAGGGGGGTGATGAACAGCCAGAGGGCAGCAGCCCCAAGGCATGTGGTTTGAGGCGATGGGAACCATCTTTTCTTGAGAGGCTTCAGGGAAGTGGGGGTCTCGAGAGAAGAGCACCGGCAGGAGGAAGGAAAACTCAGTGAAGATGTAAGGGAGCCTGTTACACGGAACTCCATGGGTTCCGACGGGAAAACAAGGGAAAAAGGAAGCAATGGAAAGTTGGTTTCAGGTGAGAAAAAGCAGGAAGAAAATTTGTGTCTGCATTTCACAGATAAGAGAACTAGACCTCAGAAAAGCTAAGTGTCCTGCCCAACCGGTTAAGTCCAAGACTGGGACCTGAATTGCCCCAAGATAGTTCTCTGAGGGTGAGAAACTGTGGCTCAGAAGGAGCTTGAGGGCAGGTTTGCAGTTAAAGAGACAGTGATCGGATGCAAGCCTCCTATGAAAAAGGACGGCAGCAAACATTCCAGGTGGAGGCTGGGAGGGGAGGGCAGACTGTCGGAGAAGCAGAACTCAATGAAGATTAAAAACAAAAAGAAAACTCTCTGAGAAGGAAAGTACCCCTTGGGTACCAGGGGAGATATGAAAAGAGCCAGTTCTGGGGTTCAAGAGGGACTACCAAAGGCTTCCTTGAACACAAGCAAGCCAGTTCATCCAGTGGGTCAGGGAAAGTCAGAAAGGGTCCAGAACCCAAGCCTGTAAAAGAAGAAAAGTGGGACTCAAGTCTGGAGATTGGTCACCGCCCCCAAGAGCGGTGGGACAAAAGTCCTCTTCAATGAAAGGGCCACAGATGGCTAAAAGGTACCCAACGGAAACCAGGAAACTATGGAAGGCCTACTCCACAGAGCCACGCCCTCCCTTCCACATGACACGCCCCCCCACTTCATGTGCACACCCCCCTACCCCATGTGCACACCCCTGTATGGCTTAAACAATGTAATTGAATCCCCCCAATTAGCCCCAAGTGCCTCCCGCTGTTAAAAAGCTGAGGCCGCCTTGACTGCCAACTATAGTCCTAGGGGCTCCCCTCCAAGCCCTTTGCTCTAGCCTCCCTCTCCCCCACTTCTGGGCAGAGGGGGCCCGCAGCCGGCCGGAAAGTGGCCACATGGGGGCCAAGCGCTGATCTGGGACCGCCTGAGATCCCTTTTCCCACTCCTCCAGCAGACCCCAGCCCTGGGCATCAGCACGCGGCCTGGGTGTTCATGACACAGACAACCGGACAGAAGTTCAAGAGGACGCCTCGCTGGACTCCACGCCACTCCGAAATCCACCTTTTAGAAAAGCGCCTCCCGCTGAAGGAGGACGGAAAAGAAGGGAGGGGCGGGATCTCTAGGAGACAGGAAAGATCACTATAATTTTGTTGCAAGAACAAGAGCAATTTGGGATTTCACGCCCTTTCGAAGCAGAATGGCATCTACTGGACGGTACTTGGTTTCGAAAGCACTGGAGTGGGTGGGAGGGACACTGGCAGCTGCCTTCGCCCCCTGCCCCCCACCTCCCCAGAGGACCCTAGCAGTCAGCTTGCACTGCTGGGACCAGGAAAGATGAGCAAAGTCAGAAGTGGAGGAATGCAGAGCCTCCTGGCACCTGCCTGGCTCGCTGCTGCTGCTCGGAGCTCAGCAGGGCCGGCGACAGAAACCCCCAAGGCCAAGCGAGGTTTCTAACTGGCCCGGCAGCCACCAGCTCCTAGAGAGAAGGCTGAGCCTTAACCCACTCGGCCGGCAGTCAGTGCCCTGCCATCGGCCTGCACCCTGGCGGGGAAGGAGGGCTTCCCCCAGCAGAGCTTGAGGACTGAGTTTCCCTGACAAGCAAAACAAGAGAAGGGCTGTGAAAGGGTCAGCGGAAGTTCCCTCGCTTCAAATCTTTCCTGTTTCCTTCTGCCCCGGCTTTCGCCACCGCAGGACTCAGCATGGTCTGCAAGCGGTGTGCCTAATCTGGTTGGAATTTCCTCCTCCACCCACCTGGCATTCTCCCCACAGCCCTGAGCGCTCCCGATCAGGGGTTCTCACATCCACCCCAAGTGCTGGTCTAGGCGACCACGCCACTGGCCCCTCTGGTGCACCAGGGAGAGGCTCACGGTAGAGGGGCTGCAAAGCCCCAGTTGGAAAGGAGCAAGTCGTGGCTACCCTTTGGCGAGAGCCCTACGAAGCCCCCTCGCTCGCTCCCCTGGGACCAGTACGGGGTCCCAGCAGCCTGGCCCTTTATGGATGAGTGAGTACTCATATGCCACCAGCGCGGGGACAAGTGACAGAGGAAGACACAGGAAAGAGGAGAAAAGTTGCCCAAAGTCTTCCAAATACCCACTTAATAATCACAGGCTGTTGACTGCTGGAGCTCAAGAGGCACTAGTGATTATGAGGTTCAGTGTTTTTCTGACGTTTTTGTCCACAATCCCCAGCCAGAAGTGCACTTTACACAGCCACTCAGGGAACACACACACACACACACACACACACACACCCAAGCAGAATTTCATGGAGCGACACTGCTCCTTACCGCATGCCACACGTGCCCGTGTTTTGTACTCGCACCAATCTGGCTTTTTAAAAATGTTGCTCCCGGGACTTCCCTGGTGGCGCAGTGGTTAAGAATCCGCCTGCCAATGCACGGGACACCGGTTGGAGCCCTGGTCCGCGAGGATCCCACATGCCTCAGAGCAAGTAAGCCCGTGCGCCACAACTACTGAGCCTGCGCTCTAGAGCCCACGAGCCACAACTACTGAGCCCGCGAGCCACAACTACTGAAGCCCATGTGCCGCAACGACTGAAGACCGCACGCCTAGAGCCCATGCTCCGCAACAAGAGAAGCCACCGCAACGAGAAGCCTGCGTACCGCAACGAAGAGTAGCCCCCGCTCACAGCAACTAGAGAAAGCCCACATGCAGCAACGAAGACCCAATACAGCCCCAAATTAATTAATTAATTAATTTTTAAAAAAATGTTGCTCCCACTGATGGGTCACCATCCAGTTTGAAAAATGCAGATCAGTAAGGTGACATGGTGGGGGGGATGGGACTTCATGGGAAAATGTATGTAATGTTACAGCGGGAAGCATTAGCAAGGCTGACCTATTTGCACTCAATGACCCAACCTAACAGCTCGCTGGGCTCAGAAATGAAAGTGACCACCCCTGAGCACCATGGTTCACACTGTCTAGGAGAGAAAAACTGGAAAAAGCAGGCCCATCCAACACTCTCACTGAACTTTACAAGAACAGGTTAAAACTGTGTGCCTTATGAAATCAAAGAAAACTTTTTTTTTCCCTTTCAAGATACAACTTACATTGATTTGGCTTCAGGTGTAATAACTTTTTGAAATTTCAAGAACGTAAAGAGGACGAGTGGGGGCTTCGCTGGTGGCGCAGTGGTTGAGAGTCCACCTGCCGATGCAGGGGACACGGGTTCGTGCCCCGGTCCGGGAAGATCCCACATGCCGCGGGGCGGCTGGGCCCGTGAGCCATGGCCGCTGAGCCTGCGCGTCCGGAGCCTGTGCTCCGCAACGGGAGAGACCACAACAGTGAGAGGCCCGTGTACCACAAAAAAAAAAAAAAGAGGACGAGTGTTCTGTGTTCATAGAAAGGGGGACAGGTTAAAAATGGGAAATGCTGAACTGGTCCACAGCCTCCGTTTTACTAGTGACAAAACTAAGACACAGAACCGTGCCTAAGGCATGAAACAAGTTAGGGGCCGGGCTTGAACCCCAGCCCAGGGCTCCTGATTCAATTACTCACAGTCTTCATCTTCCCAAATATTTAAGAAGAACACAGTGAAGGTCTCCCCAAGTAGAGCATTCCCGTGACTGAAGCATATCTCATGTTGGACACATGACAACCATGCTGGTCTTGGCACACGTTGGCACTCTGCCCCAGCCTCACTGGGGTCACACAGTGGGGCTCATACCACTTAACTCTGTGCCTTTCATCCCTGCTGCAAAGTGAAAAGAGTAATCCAAGAAAGTTGTAGCCAAAAAACAAGAGGGGCTTTAAAGCCAAACCTGCATGCTCAAAACCAGAAGAACCCCTAAGGGTCATTATTCAGAGCTAGGATTATAATCGCAGAACCAAGAAAACCTTCCTGGTTAGTTAACCCAAGCCTTCATTTTACAGTCAAGCCCCACAGAATGACTTGCCTAGGACAGGAAGACCAGCTCCTTCGATCATACACACCACGTTAACCTGGTCACAGGTGAAAACCAGCCGCTACGGAAAGTAATACTAAGTACACAGTGACAAATGGATCAAAACAGACCAGCGTCCATGGGGCAGAAGGAGGGGCAGGGAGGAAACTAAACACAGATCACAACATTTAAACACGTGAGATTAATGCCTCTTCAGAGTGTCACAGGGAGCTCAAAAGGCATGACTGACTATTCCTAATCCTAAAGAAAAGCTAAAATGATGCCCTGAACCAAACTCACAGCAGAGACCAAGGGCCTCAGAAGTGGTACAGGTCCTTGGAACATTCATCTCCACGACCCAGTGGGTCTGGTGCCGCTCAAATAACATCTCCCTGCTCCTAACTTTCCCACACTCTGTCCAAGGCGCCTGAGACAACAACTTCAAACATGGGGAATTTTATTACATGTGAGGGCTTCTTTCCTACACAAATGCCACCTGGTATCTGTCCAGGGTCTTTCCTGGAGCAGCTTCGGAAACCTAAAAGACAAGATCTCCCTGTGGCCTCTGTAACCCTGGCAGGCAAGGACCATTCCCTTAATTCCCCACTGGGATGCCGGAGGGAGAGAAGGGGTGATGGCTCAGTCCCAGCAGCACAATATAAGACTTGGGCTCACCTTACTGCCAATGCCCATGGTCTTCTCTCTGGACCCGTGTCTGTCCAGTCCCTGACTGCCAGCTCTGAGAGCTGCCCAGGGCAGGGAAAACCTGCCATTAGACATTCTGGCCTTCACGCCACTCACGTGGGGCCAGCATCAGCAACAAGATACAGATGCTAACTGGGGAACTCTGCTGGGCCTGCCTTCCAAGATAACTGCCACCCGGAGAGGTCCCCAAATCTCCCAAAGCACACTGAGGCTGGAGTCGGAGGATACAGTGGCTCATGAGCCCGGGCAGGCTAATCTGTTCACCTCTCTGTGCCACGGTTTCTTCATCTGTTAATCCCCAGGGTTGCTGTGTGTTTTAGATGAGTTCTGCCCACAAAAGTGCGATGTGTCAGTACTAGTATTATTCCCCCTCAGCACTCTATCCCCTAGCCATTCGGTATCCTGAACAGGCTGACTGAGGTCAACTCAGGCAAAATCCGCCTGGCTAAAACTGCCTCCTTACAGAAATGCATTTAAAACTACCCGGGAAGTACCGGGCCAACTGAACCTCTATTACACAAACCGTAAGAAAGGCTGTATAGCACACGCTCTCCCTGCCTGCCCGCCTCCCTGCAACAAAATGAGAAGGCAAATGTCATTGCAAGTCTTACTGCCTCTCAGCGGCTCGACAGCCGGAGGGCGGGTGGCCGGGCCGGCCGGACCGGGGACACGTTCCTCGGCGCGAGCGTGGTTAGCGCTCCCGGCGGCGGGTCCCTCGGGGACAGCGCACGTGTGGGCAGCCTCGGCCACCCGGCACCGGCCGGCGGACGCCGCTCGCCACGGCTTGGACACCGGGAGCGCCAGCTGGAGCCGCAACGACCCGGGACCGCAAACTCTCCGATCGCGTTGCCAGACAGTGGTAAGACTGTGCAAAGCTGCACTGGCCGCCTCCCTCAGGAACCCCGCCGCCACCACCGAGGCCAGCGGCGCTCGCCACTCCTCCTCGCCGGCCGCAGCGCCGCCAGCAGCCCGGGCCGGGAACTCGGCGGGAGCGGCGGAGCGGGGCGCCGGCTGGGGCACCCTCGTGGGCGCGGGGGGTGCCCCCAGGGCCCAGGCGCACAGCGGAAGGAGCTGCGCAGCGCGCTCCTCGGCGCCCCGGCTACGCGCGCCAACTCCCGGTGAGACCCAGGAGACCCGGGGCGCCGCGGCCCCGAGGAGAGCGCGGTTTCGGAGAGCTGCATCCAGGCTGCTCCTGCGCGGGATGCAAACGCACGCGCGCGCGCTCTCCTCTCCGCTCGCTACGTCCCTAAAGTCCCCTCGCGCCTCACCTTCACTGAGTCTACCGGGTACATGACCGAGTGCTCCAGGATCCCGGCCATCGCTCCGGCTGTCATGTGGATGGATAAGGAGACGCTGGTCGGCAGGTTCTCATAGTCCTCCGACCCGGCGTCCTTGCAGCCGCCGCCGCCGCCGCCATCTCGGCTGTCCCCATCCATCCTGCGCCCTCCAGCCTGACTCCCTACGCCGCCACAGCGTAGCTCCATCCGCCGGCTCCGCTGGGCGCGGGAGGCTGCAGGAGGCGGGCGGGGAGGGGGAGGGGGCGAAAAACTTCACTTCTTTAAAGTGGGAACCACCTCCCGGGTGCTGCGGCGCCTGACGCCATGGCGGGCTGGGGTGGAGCAGAGGGGCACCAATCACTGGGAAAGTAGAGGCCGGCCGCGGCCGCACCATTGGTGTGCGGGACAGTGGGGACCCGCCTCCCAGTGTGACGTCACTGCCCAGTGCAAATTTCCAAGCTACCGGATGGGGGCGAAAGGAGACGTTGGGGTGTCCCGGGAAGTTGTCTTACCTCCTGTTGGGGTGGTGCTGCCTGGTTTGGGGCAGTCGCTGGGGAGGGTCAGCCGGACCGTAGGGATTGGGCAATGCTTGAGGCTGGAGGGAGATTCGGAGCAGCGGAAAATCTGCCCCCAGAGCCGGGGATTTTGCAAACAGTATTGCTCAGCAAGCTTTGGCATTCCTCAGGCCTGGAGGGGGGAAGTTGCTGCGAACGTCATTTATGGAGCAGTTATGGTGGCTGGAGGAGGGGAGGGGTGGAGGCACACGTGGAGGTGGAGTGGAATTCTAGAATTGAGGACCCACTGCGCGATATGAGGGGTGCACCTCCTTTTGTGCAGCTCGAGAGCATGTCCCGTGGAGGGAACAAAGTGAAAACTCAAGATGCTGTGCCAGGCTGCTTCGTTGAGGAGAACGGCCACTTACTCGAATTTTTCTGTCTCACTGAAAACACATAATACATAGAGCAAAACTTGTGCCTCCTTATTCTCACCAAGAGGCTAAATCCACCCTGCCCTGGACCGGGCAATAAGTAGTCACCAGGATGGAGCCCTTCTGAGTAGGCGCCTTCAGCACGTTTTCCTGGGGCTGGAGGGACTTTAGAAGCCTGGTCTCACAGTAGGGTGCAAAGTGGCCAAGAGAGTGAAATCGTGCAGGATTGCATCTGCCTATCTTTAAAGACTCTGGTCTTCTCGATCTTAAACTCATCCCAAGCTATCTTCTTAAATAAAGTGTAACCCAGACTGTTTTATTTTAACCTAAATAATATTGTCTTTCTCCATCTGGGGGAAGGGGGAGTAATCAAAAAGTAGGGGAGTAACCTGCCTGTTTATCTAAGGCTCCCTGAAAGCATGGCAACTGCACATCTAAATGTGCATGTTCTGGGCTTAAGATTTGGCAGGAGCTGATCAACTTTTACTGCACCTTATCCAAAGAAGTCTTCTCTGGTCAGAAAAGCTGTGCCTTGAGATATGAAAAGGTGCAGGAGACCCTGAAGATGCTGCACACCCATTTTGGCCTCACCCTGGTCCCAAGATTTGGGTCATAACAACCGAGGCAGCTCTCTAGGATTTGAGATTCAGTGATGCGAGTGATGTCAATAGAGTCTTCGTGGCCAAGGGCACCATCTCCCCAATTTTGGTAGCTGCCAAAAGTTGCTCCCAAGACCGGTGCTAAGGATGGGCTAGGTAGAAACACGCTCTGTATTTAGTAATTGCTGGAGAACAATTTAGTAATTGCTTTTGCCAGAGGTGATTTTGAAGAAACGTTGGTCAAAACCTGTTGATACTCGTGTAAAAATGGATACCCTTTAACCAGTACATATTAACTCATCGTCCCACTTCAGGGAATGTGACACAACTGTCTGAATATGCATGACGCTCTTCAAAGCATTATTCATAGTAATAAATAATTGGAAACAACCAAAATGTTCAACTAGAGAACATTGGCTGAGCAAATTATGATACGTGTATTCATGAAATATTATGGGGCCATTAAAATTGTGGCTACGCAACGACATGGGAAATAATTATGATGCAATGTTATGTGAAAAAACAAAACAAAATTCTATGAACATTACATTCACAAAGATGTAAATATGCAGAGGAAAAGAGTGAAGTGGTTATTGTGATAGTGACATAGGATTAGAGGTATTTTTACTATATTTTTCAGACAAACAATGCTTGTATTGTTTCTATAATTGAAAAAATGGAAAGAATGAAAATGGATCATTCTTTTTAGGATCTAATCTCCCAACGGATGAGAAACGCCCTGAACTCGGCAATGGTGATAGTGGTGGAGAAAAGTAAGCTTGTGGATGGTTGAGAGGACTCTTGGCACTTGTGAACATGCCCATAATCTTCAGGTACCTAAGACTTTTTTAAAATTTCATTAAACAAACGTTAAGCCAGAAGCATTTAGAAAATCTTTGGAATATTTATTTTGAATATTCAATATTTTTTCTCACCAATATATATGGTGGTTTGGCCCTCAGCGTCCATCTTAAACTTCTCCTTGTACTGTAGTGACCAGAAAATTTGAAACCACATTTCTCAGACTCCTTTGCAACTAGGAGTCTAGATATAATTTGTATTCTGCCAGTTAGGTGAACTAGGGAGATCTGGGAAGTGGAAAGCAGATAGAGACCACCTTCCTGCTGCTTTGAAGTTATACGCTGCCTAGTGAAATCATAGGGTTAGGAGCAGTTGGGGTGGGCAGTGGCTTGCCTGTTACAATAGCATTGCAGGGTCTGGACACCAAGTTCATGAATGTTGAGAGGCCATTGTGGCAGTGGGAATGGCAGCAGGGATGGTGGCAGCACCATAGCTTCCACAGGTGGCCTTCACCTTTGAGGATGTGGTGGAGGTTCCCTTGGGAAGCCAATTTGGAGGTGTGGGTCTGAGAATCATCTCTGGAGTCCCCGCCTAGGTTTCAGCTCTTCCTTCCCATCCAACAATATTCTGTATAGTAGCAAATGGGCATCATAATGAAGGAGGCTTCCCTAGATGTCAGAATGCAGCAGCCAGTCTTAGATCTCTGAGGAAGGCCTGCTTGCAAGGAGGGGTGAGATCCCAGACACCATAACCCAGTGCTTTGACCACACTGCCAACAAGGAGGCAGCACTGGAAGGACCCAGGAGCAGAACGGAGATCCTGCCCTGTGGGGTAAACCAGGAGACTCAGAATGACTTGCTGGTTCCAGCCAAGTCTTACATAAAGTTCCCAAATGTTGAAGTTCTGAAGACGTCATCATGCTGCTTTAGCCCAGCTGGGAGTCAAGCTCCACTTAGAAACGGGAAGTTACAGAGGGTGTAGGGGGAAGAGCACTTGAGTTGGAGTCATGGACCTGTTCAAGCCCAGATTCCACCATTTAGCAGCTATGTGGCTCTGGCCCTTTTGGTTGGCATGCTTCCTCACCTGCTTACCATGGGCACTGCCACTTAACACATGGTGAATGAAATACAGAAAAAAATAGAATAGAAGCTCGTGGTGAAGTATATATAATTTGGGGGTGTTGGGAGGAAAGAGGACAGAAAGGAGTTAAGAGTATAGAGTTAAGAGGTCCAGGCTTCCTCCAAAATCCTACCTTTTTCACAATAATTACTTAAACCCTGGCATCCACCTGCCCACCCATGCAACACACAGATATATTAACACCCTACCCAGAATTTAGCCAATGCTGTGTCTCCCCCTGGAGCCCCAGAATTCCTCTAACAGAAGGGAGGCCCGGACCATGGAGGGACTGCAGCTGGTGTGATGTCTCCTAGATCATCGTGTGCTGGGTACCAGGTGGGGTGTGCATTTTGCCTTTGTTTTTCACAATGTGAACTCCTCCACACCTCCGTTATCTTTAAGTCAAGTGTATAGGTTGGAAGGGCTGCGCGGGCCTCTAGACATGCAGGGTGTCTCCCTCATTTACACATCTGACCCTATAATCCCAGAACCTCTTGCTTTCCTAAAGACAGCACTGTGTTCCCTAAAGGCTCTATCTGTGATTCATCCTTAGGGATGAGTCTCATCCTTGAGACAGAAGAAATGGAGGCCAAAAGCTAGCCTCCCTCCAGAGCCCCCCATCAAGTAAGGAAGGGATGGGGGGGGTGGGCCACCAGGCACAGAGAAGGCAGAGCTGCCTCAGTTTACGGGGCTTCCTTTTATGAAAGGTGGTGACAAGAGAGGGTCCGAGCTGGTAGTTTAATCAGCGGGTTGAGAGAGGAGTGTTGCCCAGCTCTGCCTCCCAGAAGCCTGCCGGGCTCGCACTGCTGCAGACTCTGCTGCTGAGTCCCTTGTGATAGGGCTGGGCCGCCCTGCTGTGCGACAGCCACCCCCCACCCTGACTCCTGTCCTGTGGATGTGTGTGCTATCCTCCACGGCAGCTGCCCCCTGCACTTTCACAGATGAGACCCAACGATGCCAGCCATACCCTCCTCACATCAGAGTCTCTGCACTGCGGTCATTCCCACTCTCACTCAAGAACCCATCACCTAGCAGATGTCTCAAGGCCCCAGAGGTGGACGGAATGGGTAGCAGAGGAGCCCTGAGGCCCCAGTGGAGGCCAAGCAGTGGCTGAATTGTGGGTAGGGTGTGCCACATCTGTGTGTTTGCACGGGTGACCTTGGGCCATCCGTAGCCACCCCCCAAAAGAGCTTGCATCTGTCATCTTTCCCTTTCCTCACCTTTTTCCACAAATATACTCAATCCTCCATAGCCTAATAAAATCCCTCTCCCCTGTTCCACGCCTTAAGCTATTGCCCTATTTCTCTCCTCCATTCTGAAGCCCCAGAAAGAATGATCGCCCCTGGCCATCCCTCCTTACAAGGCATTCACTCCTGAAGCCTTCCCGTGGTTTCTAACTCCTGCACTTTTTTTAAATAACATCTTTATTGGAGTATAATTGCTTTACAATGGTGTGTTAGTTTCTGCTTTATAACAAAGTGACTCAGCTATACATATACAAGTACCCCCATATCTCTTCCCTCTTGCGTCTCCCTCCCTCCCACCCTCCCTATTCCACCCCTCTAGGTGGTCACAGAGCACTGAGCTGATCTCCCTGTGCTATGCGGCTGCTTCCCACCAGCTATTTATTTTACGTTTGGTAGTGTATATATGTCCATGCCCCTCTCTCGCTTTGTCCCAGCTTATCCTTCCCCCTCCCCATGTCCTCAAGTCCATTCTCTAGTAGGTCTGTGTCTTTATTCCCGTCTTACCCCTAGGTTCTTCACTCCCGCACTTTTCGAAAGGAGCTCTTGAAAAGGTCACCAATGATCTCACTGCCGGATCAGCCCGCCTCTCCTGGCAGGAACCTCTGAAGCCCGCCTCCTCAGGAATTCCTCCCTCACTTCCGCTCTCTTCCTGCCCTTCAGGCAGCACCGTCTGCCTCCTCGGCCTCTCCTTCCTCCTGACAGTCTGTCCTCAGAGCTCCTTTCTTCTCTTCCCTTTGGTCCTCGCTTCCATTCCCACGTTCCCATTCCCAGCCCAGGCTCTGTTTTCAATCCTGACCACTCCTCTGCACTCCAGCCCCATATGTTCTCGTGCCTCTCAGCTCCATGTGAAGCTCAGATGGTAGATCAGTGTCCTAGGGCTGCTGTCACAAAACACCACAAACGGGCAGCTTGAAACAACAGCAGTATATTCTCTCATGGCTCTGGAGGCTAGAAGTTCAAGATCAAGGTGTTGGCAGGGCCATGCCCCCTCCAAAGGCTCTAAGGGAGGATCCTTCCTTGCCCCTTCCTAGCTTCTGGCGGCTCCCCTGCAATCCTCGACGTTCCTTGGCACCTGTCATTGGATTACGCCAGGATGACTTACTTCATCTTAGCTTGATTATATTTGCAAAGATATTTCTAAATAAGGGCACAGGTTCCGAGCAGACATGAATATTGGAGGGAAACTGTTGAGCTCAAGACGGGGGTGGGTGGTGGTGGTGAGAGGCTAGAGCTGCAGGCTGTCGCGGGAAAAGCCCAGGTTCCAGTCCTGACTCATATCCTTTGCCCGCGTCCCTTTATCTTCAAAAGGAAGAGTTGGACCCAGTGTTGTGCCTTCCAGCTCTATCTGTCCAATCTAAAACTGAATTCATAATCTTTCCTCCTGGTTGACGACTCCTTCTCAGGCTACTTTTTCCTGTATCTTACCTCTGTTTTACCAAGCAACCAACTGGCAAGTTTACAGTCATTCCTGGCTTCTCTCTTCTTCTCTCAGATCCTGTCAGCCATGGGGAGATTCAGGCCTCTGAGAGAGTGTCACTTATAGCTACGGCGACTGTGTAATTTATCTTCCAAACTGGGATGCTTTTTGAGAGTGACAAGGGACACTGGTGAGAATTACACCAGGACAGAGGTAGAAACTGAGACCGTCCTGGGGAAACTAGGATATGGTCGTCCTGCTTATAGCCTAAACTTGCCTTCCATGCCCCACCTGTCACAGGTACTCATTTCTCAGCTCAGATGGTTCCCCTTCCAGGAAGTCTTCTCTGACCCTCAGGAAGTGAGCTGAACCCTGTCACTCTTTCACGCCTCCTTCCTGGCTCTCCCAACCTTCTATTTATTATTATAGTTATGTTGCCTCAAGTTCTTTGAGGATGTAAATTGAGTAAATGATCAATATTTATTACAGTAGTAAGAGTTTCCTTCAAAGGAGCTCCATATTCCTATATAATAACATTAAAATGCTACAGACATTCATGAGCTCCAGGAAATTAAACCATGTTGCACCATAGCTCCTGAGGCTCTGAGCACAGACGGTGGAGAAGAGAGATAAAAGGGACATTTTCTTTTCTTCCAAAGTATTGATACATGTCACAAACACTAAAACAGGGTGCTACTTTTCTTGGGAGCATGGAGTTGCAAAGCCTGAGAAGTGGAAGAGACCTAGAATATGATATAGTCTATAATCCCATCTCACAGGTGACCAAAGAGGTCCAAGAGGTAAAGTAACTTGTCCACAGACACAGAAGTGGATAGTGGAAGAACTGGGATAAAAACCCAGGTGTTCCATTCAGTACTTTTTCAATTCACCCACCTTTGAAATAACCCTAGAAGCTGATAAGACTCCTTTATTGCGGTCATTAGTCTTATCTCAGATGCCTTCTCTGTAAAAACCAATAGTCATCGATGCTCGCTCTGGCCGGGTTCCCCTGACATAGCACATTAGCACACGCCCGCATTTGCCAGATTCCGCAGGTGAGTTTCACCCTGAGCCTTACCATCATTGAGAACGTGTTGATCACAATCCTCTAGGCAGCATAGCTGCCATATTTCCAACCATTCAATAGATTGCTGAGCATAGAAGATGCGCTCTTTAGGAGAATGGAGATGATATTCCCCCTGCCTGGAATGTCCAGTGCCCGCTCTTCCCATGGATAGATTCTTTTTTT